AACTCTGCTGTGGAGTGACTGGGTTGGTAACCACTGTCATAGCCCATACATCTATGATGCTACGTTACCATGACATCCTATATACCGTACTTGGTGAGTACTTCTTACCAAACCACAATACCAAGGGCCTCTACCGATGAGTGAGCTGATCCGATGAAAGGGGAGGAACTGGAAGTCGTCCAGCCCCCAGACTCCGTGGACTCACGGCCGGCTCCATCCGATACACCGTCTGAAGCTTCTCTATCAGATCCAGATACCGGAGGATGGAGAGTCCAGGTTTAGTGTGCGAGAGAGAATGGCCATCACAAAAGACAGCATTCTAGAAAAAAACTTGATGAATGCAGTTTTGGCGAGTGACAACGCAAGTTGTAAAATCACAAAAGTGTGCATACAGCATCAATGCAGAGCATTATGTAAACTACTTTGGGTCAGTGTTGGCTAAGGTAATTAGCAATCCTTTTTTCTTTTTTGCAATCATCAGCAACAGACCATTAACAGTGGTGTCTAAGTATTATACAGCAAGCTCTTCACACACATGTTGTTGCTTAGTAGTACTTCTTCACCCAAACTCTAACAATGTAGACACCTACTCATAATAGTTGCACACAAACACAGAAGTTCTTCTCCTAAATAGAGGGGTCGACAAATGCGACTGGGGAAAACACCAGCAATAACCAGCCAGATATGATTTACACGGACTACGGCCCACGGCAAAGGAATCACGACCAAAAAAAGAGTAAGCCACGACAAAAATGGTACACGAGGGCGCTACTCCTACAATAGTGAGTGACCTTCACTTTCCACAGACGGCTGTGTGGTGCTGCAGGACAGACACAACACATGACTGTGATATCAGCAGGAACACTCGCGTAGCTACAGTAAGGGATGCAGTATGGTAGCAGTACAGTATATCGTACAGTACATATGATATGTAGGAGGTGGATGTAGTATGTGTAGCATGCGTGTGATCACACCGGGCTAACATGGGCGGGGCTGGTGTGTGATGCAGTTATGAAGGAGCGTGTGACTATATGGGATGTGCACTACAGGATGTGATAGAGGTCAGTAGGGGAAGTGATTAACAGGCAGTAGAGGGGTAGCGGGCATGCAGAGAGAGCCTGCATTTCCCTTTCCCTTTGGCTGAGGAAAAGAGTGGGAGAGAGTCTTGATAGGAAAAGCAGACCGACGAAGCCGACACGGAACTTGGACTAGCGAGAGCGATAAGGGGGAGAGAGAGCGCGCGAGAGAGAATTTTTGTATTTATTAGGGCGTGAGCTGTTGAGATATGGGAGAGAAGAGGCGAACGGAGAACGCAGAGGTCCCCACGGCTTCTCAAACTTTTCGCTCGCTTTGCCCCAAGAGAGTTTTGTAGAGGAGACAGAGAGCGAGAGAGAGAGCGAAGTTTAGATGAGAGGGCCTAGAAAGAGACGTTTAGCCCCACCCAGAGCTTGTATCGAAAGAGACTACCTCTGATGACGTGGAGTACGAGTGCGGCGGCGCAGTCCTGCGGGAGGACCTCATCTCTCTCAGGCAGCAGAGGAATGCAGCAACGTCATTTCGTGACCAGTGACCGTAGTCGATTCTACTGGCGTTCCACAAAACCCCGCTCTATACTAGCACAACAAACAGTCCAGGTAACACACGCACAACTTCAGACAGGTAATAACAGAACAAAACCTCGACAACGCTCATCCCTCAAGTAGAAAGTAAATTTGAAACACAGAGTCTACCCACCCACTGGAGTGTACATGTAGTGTCTGTTCCACCAGTCGAACGGCAACCTAGCAGATATACGTTTCTTCAGTTGCCATGTAGGACTTGAATTGCAACGGGCGATAAACTAAATGGTACACTGACGGGAGATACTGTGGGCTGTGGACTTGGAAGTTGTGATGACGTACGTAATAGGTAGGGCCTGCTGCTGCTGCAGTCTCGACCGCTCATGCGTCTGCTGGTAGTAGTGACTTTATAAACTCTTCTGCAGACTGGAACCAGAGGTGGAGGGGGGAGGAGAGAGGAAGGGAGGTGGAGGGAGGCAAAGGAGACGCTAGGATGAGAGGGAGAGATGTGGGGGAGGTTGAGCAGGGGAGGCGAGAGTCGGAGAGAGTGAATAGACGGTGGGGGGAGGAAGAGGGAGAGCAGAGAGCAATAGAGGGGGAGAGGAGGGAAAGAGGCGGTTAGGGAGAATATAATGGCTTACCAACCAGGAAGGAAATGGCAGTTGGCAGTCACCATCACACGTTCATCTCTAACTTACCACAAGCATCACACATCACCAACATTACCTTGCAAGTAGTACCTTCCACTCTAATTAAAGGCTGTCAATATAGCTACACAGCAGTATAAAATTCCGGATAGATATGAGAAAAAATCCGAGAGAAATGGTTGGCATATTACTCACGTCTCTAACTCTATCGGACACAGCGGTAAGTCTGTTGCCGAACCGCTCCGGCGGCTCGAGGGGCGGAGTTCACTCAATGAACGTCATGTACATGTCCAACACACCAGTCAACTTATCGAGGATCTACAAACTTAGAGACGAGGGGAGGCGAAAACAGGAGCGGTGCACTGTGAAACCCAAAACATGCTGAATCTCTGTGTAACCACGAGAATCTGATGCAATAACATCGGTGACTAACACTCCAAACTCATCGCTGCAAATATGGTATAGGTAGCTGCCCGCACCACATCCTTACTGAGCTGTTGATTTGTAACTGAATCAGTGTTCTTCTTTCCTTGATCGGCCTCGGTGAGAATGTAGATAAACCGGCAAGTCCTGTAGGCCTGTAAGCGGACGGAAATAAAATTCAGCCGATCGGGTTGTCGTTATTAGGCTAGCGGGTGGGCCTCTATTTGGGGTAGATCAAAGCGTTCCGAGCCTCTCGGAGCCAAGTACCGTCTCACTTGCGACTTTTCCAAGAGTTTCCAGGTCCGCGGTGGTCTGTACCAGTCGCTCTGGGACGCGAAAACTCATGTATACTGGACGCCGTCCTCGCACAGCATCTATTCTCTCCCGGACACTAGCAGCAAAAACTGAGAGTGACGTCATGGTTACGTACTTTGCGTGCGCATGCGCATAACCTCAATAGGTAAACTACAAATGTCAAGGGTCTTATATTACGGTATATTCTTTTGTGTTCTCTCGAAAACTAGCAGCATATGTGATGTATACACATAATGACACTGACCAGTGACATGCGCAGGTCCAATATTGAAGGAGGGACATTCTGATTACGCAGCACTGTCGTCTCCGTGGCCACAGTCAGTGCTGACGAGTGGCCTCAGCTTCTTCAGTTGCTCCGAGGAGAGAGAAAACGAATTTGGAGTGAGCACATCGCGTTGCTCCTGCCATAACAGAGAAATTAAACAATCCAAAAAGGCTGTGCAGGAATGTTAAATTTTTGTCCACGAACATGAGACTAGCAATGGTGTGGATGGAGCGAGGGTTAAAGCTAAAGATTGCAATGGAGTGTGGATAGGGTTAACTTAAATTAAAAGGACTTGGCAATAGGAGTGTGCAGAGGGTGTTGTTTTTGTTTTAAACACTGGCAATGAGAGTATGGAGGAGGGTTTTTAGTTTTTAAAGACTGTAGAGGGTTTAATGCGGAGTGGTGAGAGGGGTACAAAGCTCCCAATGATGACCTCGCAGTCAGGGGTGGTCTTGGAGATCTCGTAGATGGCCCTCATCTCAGAGTCGAGTAGGTCATCCCTCCCACAATGAATATCATTATGGTTGGGCCCGCCTTCTGGCTGCCTGGGACTGTGGGGACGTGTACACAAGGATAAGGGTGAATTGTAAGAGCCTTTCTCTAGTGTTCTGAAATCTGATTGTCAATCCAGAGGAGATTACTATTTCACTTTCATTTCAGGGTTGTAGAAACTGGATTTAAGATTTAGCGGTAGGCGTTGATTGCGTGGTACTTGTGCGCACATCGAGGTGTGGGGCTATCTATGATATTGTATACATAGTGTTCCTCGTTAGTACTTCTGCCTCTACTTAGTCCAGAGATCGTACCTCCTTGTCAACCCCTCCGCCCCTCTGGGTGGGGATCCAGTTCCACCGCTGACGGACGCTGGTCGTGGTGATCCCAGCCGCCGAGCTGGCCGAGGTCCCGGAGCTCCACCCACTGGCACTGCTGAAACTGAACGAGGCTTCCGGATGAAGGGGGGCATAGCTCTGTCCAGTCGGCCATTGACTGCTGCTGTGGGGGTGTGGGAGGGAGTCAAAGAGAGGGGAAATAGCATAGCAGAGAGAGGGGGGAGAGAAGAGCGACAAAGGAAGACGATGATGAAAGAAGCACACATGGCGTGTGAAATTCCGAGAGAAATTCTCCATGTGGAAAACTTTTCTGAATGAAACAAACAACATGGCGTGAAATTCCGGGGGGAGAGAAATTCTCCACGTGTAAAATTTTTTAGATCTATTGTGACAGCCACCCACAAGTTCTTCCCATTTTTCACTATAAAATTTGCAAAAGTGTCCAAAGCTAACCTCGGCAACGTCCTTGACCAGTGGAGGACCCAGCGGGACAGCTCCATAGTTTCTTTCCTCCCACTCGGTCGATACGCTGCAGTTTGTGCTTGGCCTCCTTCACTACGTCTCGGATCACGTGACGGTCACATGATGATCACATGACCGACCGTGTATGTGCAGACAAACCTCAGTGAGGATGGTAGTCCAAAGTGCAGCAGATTCATCAGACACAGCTCTGAGGGTGTGAGGAACAAGAGCATCATATGCCAGCAATGCACACACGCATAAACATATTATGTGTGAGGATGTGGACTTGGATGATAAAGGTAACACAATAAGCTGCAGTGTGAACCTGTGCACTGTGGAATCCTGTTAAACTCGGTTTTTTGTTCGATTTTTGATTTCATCCAAGCAGGAGACTCGTGAATGAAGCACAATCTTAGCAGTAGCACTAAGTTTTTAAACAAACACGTGCATAGGCATGATATTGTACTCTCGCAGGCCCTGGATCTCGGAGTGCTGCCTCGCTTCATAAAGTCTCCCGACTCACTCCTGACAATGTGTGGGTGGGATGTAGTTGGAATTATAACAAACCCTCAACTCTTTACTAACACCAAACACACACACACACAGACACACACGCACGCACAATAGTATATAGGATAGGATATAGTATCAACCTTTTACTACACACACACACACACACACAACAGTAAGCTCTCTCTCTCTTCTACACACTAGTATCGTCTGACCTCCTTTGAAGATGATATAGAGCATCAGTAACCTCTCTTGTCGTACACTCTGCGATTAAAGGACAGAGACAAGAATTGTCACTACACACTGAACCTCTTACAACAGGAGGACACCTCGTATTAAAGGAAGTTTGTTTAAATCTGTGCCACGATCTACTAGGTGATGAAGGACACTTATAAACAGTGACTCAACTGCGCAATAACGGACAGTTGATCCGTGCTTATATAACTGTACACCTTAGTGCATTCCAAATAAAGAACACCTCGTTCAAGTTTCGATACGTCTACTACGTACGGTGAGGGCTACATTGTCAACTCCGAATGGTAATGTAGAGTACGATACTATCAACGTACATAATTGGTAGGTTCGACTGTATGTATGTGTAGGGACAAGTATACACCGCTCACTGTATGTTCCTGCTCAAAGAGGCAGGGCATCATATCTCTGAGAGGGTCGGTGACCGGGTCTCCTGGGCATCCGTACCCACGACGCCATGTCTGTTCCACCTGGGTTCAGTATTTTGTATCACACACACATGTATTACAACAGTCAGACACACCTCAGTTGGTACAAGTGTGGGGAAAGAACAGGTCTTTACTGCGGAAATCTCACACTGCGAACGGTAACCACACGTCACACTAGTACACGGATGCGTCCTCAACAAAATCCAAGTCTGTAAATCAAAAGCAAAAACACATACCCCACTTTTTCTTGTGTAAAAACAGTTTGTGCTAACAAACTTAATGCCTCCGTTATTTAATGGGGATCACTTGGGTAAAGTTATATCACACTTAAGTAAAATTATATTGAGTAAAAGTGCAGGGAAGTATATATCCGCACCTTGCAGCGTTTGTTGATTCCTCCGCGGAACTTCCGGAGACAACTGTCAACACCAGAGATGGACGTGCGAGGGATACTGCGGCAGAGAGAGGAGAGAGAGAGAGAGAGAGGGAGAAAGGAGAGCAGAGGTGGGTTCCTGATCTGTGTGTATGAGGTTCAAACAGCAGAGCTACGCACTCCACTCAGCTCCTTCGTACTGAGGAACTTGCTTGATATGGCGAGCCAGGGTCCTTGATGGAAATCTGCCAGCAAGAAATGGTGATTCAAAATAAGGAGAAGGGGAGGAAAGGGCGAGGTGAGGGTAAGGAGGAGGGATAGGAAGTGTGTGTGTGTGTGAGACTGACATCAGGATCTCCAGCTGTTCAGCTTCTCTTGGTAGCAAATGCTGAAACTGCTCTGACACTTCACTGGAGAGTGATGAGAGAGCAGAGAGAGAGAGCGAGGAGGAATTCACCAGCGATGACGAGAGTGTTCATGGCTAACGATTTGAGACGAATCGGCACAGCGGGCGCTGGCACATTGCCCGCAGTGGTACTTCCCTTGGCCATCCTACAGGAGCCTTCGGTTCCAGAGCCCCTGCAAGCCAGGGACCATGCACAAGAGAGACAGCCCATATATACGGACATAATAATATATCTGCTTCCTGATCGACGTCTCGTTTTGCTGTATGAGGTGGGTAGTTTCCCATTCCGTAGTGGTGATAAGATTTAGTAATGGGTCGTTTGATGTGGTGAGGGTGGGGGGGGGGAGGTGGACAAATCAAGAATCGCTTATCTTTCTTTTCTGTCTCAAGCCCATTGTAGGAGAACTGAACCGTGAAAACACAAAGCAAACTTACTACTATATACACATACAGTGAGAAACCTCTGAATAAGGGAACTTGGGACATCGAAAGTGTCCTATATTCAGAGGTGTCACACATTCAGAGGTGGTGTCCCATATTAAGAGGAGTAGTATAATGTTTAGTAACGAGCTAAACCCTCGCTTGTATAAAGCTGACATTCTATAGACCCCTGCAGACTAGTCTTGTGGACCCCCGGTCTCTATATACCATACCATTTCACACGGCCCAACTCCTACAGGGGGCGGACAGAGCTCACGACGTATACGTCGCTCTGATGGACAGGAGGTCGTAAACCAGGCCTGTTACGTCACCGCTCATGGGTGATGAGGGGGTTGTTGGTCACGTCAAACCCCCGGTCCAGAATTAATGAGCTGGGACTTCTGCCTTATACGGACCCTCAGGTAACAATACCAACATTGGCCATCGTGTGACTACCAAACCGATCTTTTGGTGAGCGCCACGTGTGCGAACATCAGCAGGTTTACGGCATTTAGACGCCCATTACGGCATATACACTTACGTAGGAATAGTGAGTATCTACTGATGACAGGTAAGGGCCTAGTGCCGTCCAGAAAAATCGGACGAACTAGCATGGGCCTCGCTTCATATATTGAACACAGAGTTAAAGCCCTTAGCGAAGATCTCCAGCCAAGATCTCTCATTAGAATGCGCGAAAGACGTATAGTTCACTCCCACACGAGGTGGACACTCACGCTGCCAAGTTCTCTCTCTCGGCTTTGTAGGCATCCAGGTCTGGATGTAGGGCCTAGGAATATTTCTGCTGTCATGCTCACCTCACTAATACAAAACACACAGAACAGTTATAAAACACTCTCCTCCTCACATTACTCTTGGCGTCCCGCCCTCCATATTTACATAATGCATAGGGAGGAAGAGGAAGAACTGTAGACGGAGGGGAACGAACGGGGAAGAAGAAGGTGAGAAAGTCAATGGGAATAGGGAAGGGAAGAGGGACAAATCTCATGGAATGTAGTATGATGGAGTGGAAATACATTAGGTCGTAAGTGTCACTAATCTAAGAAGATATATGTAAGACTCGATGTTTTACATTACATATGAAATTACTGCCTATATATAAGTAAATCATATTATTTACTCATCATGAATCTACCACGAAATCACCAAACTCTTAATCATACTCTATTTACTTACCCTCTCTCTTTTATATATACTTCCCTCCTTAATTACTTCTCACTAAAATTATCTCAACTTACTTCTATCTTTACCTATATTTACTTTAAATACACTTTTTACCTTTTTACTCTCTATAACCCTCCCCTTACTTTACCTTTTACCTATATCTCATACTAACTTACGACCCCCTCTGTTTTACTTTTTACCTTATTTATTACTTTAATGTTTTACCTACTTACTTACCCTACTCTACTACTTCACATTTAGAGGACAAATCGTGGCCACATATGCACAAGTATTCTTAATTTAGCATGTTGTACGTGACACATCCATCAACTCCTATCTCCATCCCCTCTTTTCTGCTCTCCTCTTTGTCTACCTGTCTCTCATCCTTTGTTTCCCCTCTTCGCTCCATCCTCTCCTCCTTCCCCTTCTCCACCTCCCTCCCTCTCTCTCACTCACTGCGGGATCGGACGGAGGGGTACTCTCCCCATCATGGCACACACGGTGGCCCCAATCTGGTCGAGCGCTCCTCTCGCACACGTGTCAGCACTGACTCTGCCCGCGAGTAGAAGTCTTCGAACATGTCGGTTTAATCGAGAGTGAACCACCTTGCTCTCGTATCGGCAGGAAAGGCCTGTTTGCACTCCTGCAGAGACACAATCCCTTCACAGAGAGAGAGAGAGAGAGAGAGAGAAGTAGTCAGTGTCTACAGTTGAGTCAAAAAAGTGTTTTCATTATCGTGTAGTTTTAACTATATATCTGGTATACAGAAATTTGAGTATTCTTGGATTATACACGCCATTGCAATGAGTTGGCACTCTGACCCAAGTTGCATGTGTGGCTGTTAGTAATCACGTACTACAGTGGCGGACAGTGGGTGACTCGAGAACAAGGGAGGAGCAAAGCTTGGCCTACAGCTGTAACACTGACCCATGGCGGGAGGACATGCCACTCAGCAAAACGACAGTGAGATCTCAAACAACGCGAACCACGTGTGCAGTCAGATAACACTGTGTCGCGTGTGTCAGCAAAACCACCAATCAGATGTGCACGCCATACATACATACTCCACAAAGAGTCGTTGGCTTAGAGTGATACTATACATAAATAAAATTGGCAGTTTACTGCACCACAAAGTAGATAGAGATACACAGGAAAAGCCTGGCTGAATGGTATGACAACAATTTGAACCCACTTTTAGCCGCCTTGCTCGAGCCAAGTTTAGAGAAGAGGCTAGTCGAGCACTCTGTGAGCAAATGAGAGAGAGAGAGAGAGAGAGAGAGAGAAAGTGAACAGTGAAACCTCTGAGACACTTTGGGGGACATCAAAAGTGTCCTTTATGAAGAGGTGTCCCTTATAGTAAAGGGGGGGAGGAGACCCAATAGAGAGGTGTCCTTTATGGAGGGCACACTTGGAGTAAGTCTGGAGCGAAGTGTGGTTATGTGACTTACTCTCGAGGAAGAAGACGTGGGCAGTTTTGTAGGTGGGGGCCCCTTCGAAATCACCAATCAACTTGGCAACAGTCTGCGAGGGAGAGAGAGAGAGAGGACGGTGTTTTTGGCATGAGTCAGAGAGATAATGGTTGTTATTATAGCTGGTGCAGAGGAGAGCAAGAGAGTAAGGAGAAAGGGTGGAGAAAGGAGGGAGAGGAGGAGAAAGGAGGGAGAGGAGGGGGAAGGAGGAAGAGGAGGTAGAGGAGGGGGAAGGAGAGAGAGGAGGAGAAAGGAGGGAGAAGAGGGAGAGGAGAGAGAGGAGGGAGAGGAGAGAGAGGAGGGGGAAGGAGAGAAAGGAGGGGGAAGGAGAGAGAGGAGGGAGAAGGAGGGGAGGGTTTGTGAAGACCTTCTCAGACGGGACAAGGATGTAGATAGCCTCCATGTGAGCCAGTGGCTGACGAGACTTGTCCAGAGACTCGACAACTAGAGAGGGTGTGTGTGTGTGTGTGCGTTTGTGTGTGTGGAGACAATGAGACAGGACCTGCATGTGGTGATAGGGACCACTTACGAGTGACTCCTTTGGTCATGACGTCTTGCATCTTGCAACAGGCAGACATTATCCGAGTGCTCAGATGGTCTAACACCAACACCTGTAAACCGGTACCACAATGCTTAGCTAGCACAACACCTGTACATTCATATCACATATACAACAGCGGCCAATGTTGTATACAACAATTTATACGCATATATTATTGTTAGCTAACAACGTGTGTATAGCTAGTACTGAAACACAGTGTGTTGTTTATCATGCATGCACGCAAACAACTATTGCATAGCCCACCTTGCAAGCACCATTTCCTTGTCGCTAATGCAACAGTAACAGTTACTGTATACTGAGTCAGTACATGTAGTATAGTAACAAACATGTTGAAGATTGTTTTGTACGTTGTAGTGTATCTAGGCAACTCCATTCTTCAGTAGAACGGGACGCCAATCAAGACACTAATTGGACCAGACAATATTAGTTAGGTGTTCTCATTTCAATGGCATGTAAGAAACTGTCCTTGGGGAAAGAAAAGGAGTCCTTTACTCATTTGGGGGGTGTCCTTCGAGCGGGCTTCCATTATAGGGCAAGCAAACGACAATACACACAGAAGGCCCAGACAACAGGCCAACTGCAACTCTAACACAGTTTTGCTTATGGCAAACTGAAAGTTAAACCTTACAACCTGTTACAGCTGTGAGTTGGGTATCTAGCTGGAGGGAACAACACCAGGAAAGACAAGGATATCAAATGGAGGAAGGAATCGCCTTCTCTTGTCAACAAAGTACTACCACCGTGCAAGACACTATCACACTTGTACAGTGACCAAGGCAAACAACCATTACCATAATCACGACACATGACACACGTACACTTGGGAATTATGGTAAAATTGCTCCCGCCGTTCTTCCCACAGGCTACAGCTCATACAGCTGGCATGCAGAGCAACCGACTGTAGATACATACACCAACCCCCCACACATGTTCCATTATGTACACATCACCGCCAGCTACGTAACTCATACTGACCACACCCAAAGATTGAAGCTGCATCTACAGTAGCAGGTCCTACCTAGTCATAATACAGACAGTACCAACATTGTATACATCCACAGTCAAGTTTTAGCTGTGCATTGCACGCAGACTCACCTTCCATTGCCCTGGCTTGCACACGGAGCCCAGAATGTCGTCCAGAAACCCTGCAGTGGTGAATAATGTGCTAGTTGCCGGAGAGAGACAACGAGCCTGAGGGAGGAGGGTCTTACGTTTAGCCACTATATCTTTCAGGGCCGCCATGACGGCTACGTCGAACAAGTCGCTTTCTCCTCTTCTCTTCTTTGCTAGCGCTCAAGCAAGCAACTGTCGCTGGTGAGTAGAAACGCAACGCTTGCAGAGTCGTGCGTTCCGTAATAATTATCGTTTCTCTATTTATGCGAGGGTAGGGTGTGGTGTTTACCGAGATATTTTTAACACAAACAACGAGACACCGAGAACAGTACTAATGTTCAAGCTACAGCAGAAGCGAAAGGAGGAAGCGGAGAAGAAGGTCCGCGAGACCACCAGTCCTCCGTCTCTGAGCAAACAAATGTCAGTCAGGAGCCGTTTCCTGACGCGAGAGGTCTCCGAGATCCAATCCTGCATGCCCAAGACGTGCTCCGTCAGTTTCGGTGACGTAGACGACTTGAGACGTTTCACTCTCTACATCTCCCCCGAGGAGGGCTACTGGAAAGGCGGGAAGTTCACATTTGAAATAGAGATCCCTCCCGAGTACAACATAAAGCCGCCCAAAGTAGTGTGTCTTACAAAACTATGGCACCCCAACATAACAGAAGAGGGGAAGATATGTCTGAGTATACTGCGAGAACACACTATGGACGGCACTGGCTGGCTGCCCACGCGGAGTCTCAAAGACGTGATTTGGGGACTGAATGCACTGTTTACCGACTTGTGTGATTTCGAGGACCCTCTGAATGTACCGGCAGCCGAACAGCACAACATTAATAGGAGGGCTTTCGAGAGGAAGGTCCGAGACTATGTCAGATCTTATGCTGTTGAGTAGTAGCTAAACTTTTTGTGTACAATTTGTGCGGTGGTGACGTCATGGACATGCGCAAAAGATCGTGTGGTTTTTGCCGCCAATTTTCGCAGGGGCGATTCGATTACATATTGCCGGCTGTCGACGGCGTCAAAGTTAGCTAGCTAGGTCCGTACGTCCGCCGTGCGTCTTCTGCATGCGGTCGCTGAGTGTAGTAAAGTCCAAAGATGCCCGGCTATAAGGGCATTGTTCCAGTGGGAAAGCCCAAGAAAGAGCTGCACTGCTCGCAGTGCTCGCTGCTTCTCCGCCAGGCCATGCAGACGGGAGAAGGCGACCGCATCTGCCACTCGTGTTGGCAGGAAAAGAAGAGAGGTGGCGTCTGGTCGTCCTTGGAAGTAAGTTAGACATTGAATGTTCCTGCCATTGAAATTGGCGAGAACGCTATCTTTTACAGTGCTATCCTGATCGTGCTGCCGACAGGGAAGTACAGTTGCTTGAGGTCTTCTGCCCGAGGGGAGCAAACGGTTGTCTGTGGCAGGGTAAACTTGCAGATCTGGAGGTACGTATACAGACTGGCAAGTAATGCTTACGTTACTGTTCATTTCCCAATCAATAGGAACATTTCAAAGAGTGTGGTAAAAAGCCAAACCTAGAGGTGATCATAAGTGTGTGTTGAACATCCCTATATACTATGTCTTGATCGTCAGCTTATGTGCCAAGCCAACCCTTGACTTCAAGCATGAAACACATATTCAATGCGTATACTCTAACCTTTGGCTTGGATTTTGAAGGTGAAATAAAGGGTAGGCAAAAAAAAAAAGATAAAGGGAATTCCCTGGGACTTCCCCTGGTACACCCTTGATCAACTAATGTTATTCATAACTTCTGTGGTATTTTAGGAATGCAAACTTTTGTCTTTTACAGGTGGGAATAAGAAAGAGGAAGTTGGAAGCTTCCAGTGATGAAGTACATGTGCACCAAATAACAACTGCACTTTCTCTATCTGGAAATGTGCTCAACATCAAGAAAAAACTCCGCACAAAGTTGCGAGAGGCGTACAAGTTGTCTCAAATACAAGAGACCCACCCTGGGGAGCTTCTCAGAGTAAACAGGGAGATTCTGGCCTTTAGTCGGCAGCTGAGTCAGCACTCGCGCCTACTAAAGCAAAAGCTTAATGCCTTTGGAAGTGCCTGCTGCACCAATTTCTCCGAATTGTTGCAAATGAATTGGCGTCTGCAATCCCAGGTGCTGTTGCACGGGCCACAGCTTTCAGCCTACCAAGAAATGTTCACATATCTTGAAAAGTTAGAAAACACTCTTACGGGAGATATGTTGAAATTTAAGCAGTGGTTGGAGGCAACAGTGGCTGGCGTGTCAGCTATTCCACTGAATCACAACAGGTGGTGTAAAAGGCAGAAAGTCTGTAGAAATGAAGCAACGTGTGAGCATCCATTTGGAGAGCAAGCTAGGGGTGCATGGGCATGCACCATTGAAGAAAAGTGAAAATCTGCAGCAGGAGCTAGAAAAGCAAGGAAGAAAGTAGAAAAGCTTGAAGAAACAAATGAAATGCTGCGAAAATCGTGTAGCAGAGCGGATTGCTGCAAAAGCCGCCTATATTGTGCAGGTAAGCAAAACTATGCTTAATGTGTATAAATAATATACAGTTTTTTAGGCAAGATGATGGAGACCACAGATAACCTGGCATGTGTTCCACGACTGCTTTGACAAGATCATAAATGGATCAGTGTGAAGGCAATGGTGCCTCAGCTATTGAAGCACAGAATATCTCAGGTCAAGATGATCTCCACTATGTTAGCAGGGTTCACCTGCGCGAACGTAATGATTTGTACTCAACTTAGTGGAGTAGAAAATGGGTCCAGATTTTCTATCGCTGTCTGAGAGAGTCTCGGGACGGCATTTGGGGCATAAAGCGCCGCTGACGTCCTGAAGCAAACAGGTACGTGCATTTCCATATGTACTCCTTTATATAGCCAACCCTCTGTCAGACTGTCACATCTCCTCTGTTTACAGCAGCTCGAAAAATCGAACCTGGATCGGAGGAGTCAGTTGTCAGTCCACCGTTGCTCGACTGAGAGAACAGTAAGATAGGTTTTTAGGTTCGGTTTGCTGTGGTATGAGAACCTTTGCAGCTCAAACAAAAGTTGCAAGTTTGGAGCTCTGAGCTCTGATTTTCTCGTCTTCGATGTTCACCCCCACTGTTTGACATTGCCTACACAATCACCTCTTGGATCTGCATCGTCTGCACTCCCGTTGGATTTGACCTAGCAATGCGACTTAGTGTTTATAGAGGATTTGGGCTGCATTTAGCTGGAGGCTCTCATGATTTTACCACGATAAAAAAGGGCTAGAAGTATTGGTCATACTTCTGTTCAGCAAATCACACTACTCTGTGTCACAGCTGACCACGCATGCGCACGTGTACGAAATTCACAGTACTACTCGTATATATATACTCCCATTCTACTGGTGTTGGTCTGCGTCGTTGGAAGAAAATGCCCGGCTATACGGGCGTTGTTCCAGTGGGGAAATCCAAACCAGAGCTGTACTGCTCTCAGTGCTCGCTGCTACTCCGTGAGGCTATGCGCAGAGGAAGGATGCATCGGTCTGCAAATCCTGTTACGAGGAGTTGAAACGGGAACGCCTCGACTTGTCGGTACGTAAATTGTAAGCTTATAGGAGCGGTATGCGAAACTGGCTACGCGAAACTGGCTACGTTTACTACTGCAGTGCAAGCCAGACTCTGCCGTCGATGAAGAAATAGCGGTGCTCCAGGTGCACTGCTCAAATTCTTCAATAGGCTGTCTGTGGACGGGAGACCTGAAAGATATGGAGGTAAGAAAGATTATACACAAATTTAAATTTAAGGAATGATTGGTAATTTGTGCAGGAGCATGTCTCAAGCTGCGACTATCAGCCCCGGCCCTGCCCAAATAAGGGATGTGGACGTCTCATTTCGGTAAAGAAGAAAGGTCACAATAAGACTTGTGTCTTCAGATCAGTGTCCTGCCAGATCTGCAACCAAACTTTGATGGCTAATAAACTAGAGCTAATAGTATGGTTAACAGATTGTATGTTTATAATGTTTATAATTGTGTTTCAGGCCCACTACACACTCTGCCATGCAAGGAAACCAACGATGTCCTTATCCACGGGCGAGAATAGTGCTCTCTTTCACAGTCTCAAATATGCCCAACTAAGCCTTTCACCAGTCATACCAAGACCTGCTATGAAACCTGGGCGAGTGCCTGGATTTACTGACTTCATCCATCAAGATTGTCTGCCTTACAGAGCGATAGTAAGCAAGCACTGTTGTGCAATGTTATGTAATGGTAAAACAATCACTTTCTTTCAGCCGTCCTGTATAGTGGAGCAGTACACATTGGGCTGTGAGAATCTTGTGCCATTGAAGAGTTATGATCTAGACCACCCCCAAGATATTCGAGTATGTTTTCGGTCCTCTACTGCACAGGTGGATTCCCTGGGACCGGCCCATGTAAGGACATTATTCATAGTGACTTATTAGATTGTAAATTTAGGAGTAAAATGTTGCACATGCCTAACACATGGTCGGACCCAACACAATGTGACTCTCAGATTCTTTAAAGAGGAGCTAATATGGTATTTTTTGGCTGAATTACCCTAGCTAGATCCTGGGTTTTGTCGTGTCAGTTCCCCTTTAACAATAATTATGTGTCATTATGTTCCCTAGAGGCACATGGTTGTTAGAGCATAGAAAATTGTGTGTCTGTTTTGATCTCTTCTTTGTTCCCAATTGTGATGACAGTAACCAAGGCACTGAGGCATAGTATTACATATAGTATTATAATTTTTTATGTAGGCACGCAAGAGAAAGTTGGTTACATCATCTGGCTCATCTCTCTCTAGTTGTCCAATGTGGACAGAGTGTAAGCGACAGAAATGCTTTAGTGAGGGTGACACGTCGGTCGTTGATTCACGGGAACGTAAAGTGAAGAATATTAAAGATAAAGTGATAGAGATACGTAATCAGAGAAGTGAGCTACATCGTCAGGAAGAGGAGCTGTTATCAGAGCTTCAACATGCTATTGCAGGTAAGGACGACTTGAAATGTATATGGCGTAGGTATAGAAGAGGTTGTGTGTTCTTCACATAGGCCAAGGAGATTTCGGTGCACTGCAGATAACTAAGCGGGTGTACCACGAGTGCATTACTGACATCCAAGACTGGATTGATGTGGTGAGAATGCTGCCTCAACTCATGAAGCACAAAGTTATCAGCGGTCCAGATGATATGTATAATATTATTAACGGCTCACCAAGGGAGAAGTTGCACTATTTATATTCCAAGCTTTGTGGGTGTAAGAATGGTTTCCAGCTTTTCTATCAGTGTTTGAGAGAGGACGATCACTTGGGGCACAGAGATGCTGCTGACAAGTTGGAAGAAACAGGTATATTTTACATAATGTGTTTGATTGTCGTACCAACTTAAAATCACTTCTCCATCTTTGCAGCTCGAAATATTGGACCCGGCCAGGCACATCAGTGCTCTCCGTGATGTATTGGATCTCCCTGAGTGACCAGTCCTCTAACACACACCTCGGCTATTCGGACTTATAAACATCGGACCTGTAAGATGTATTTACAGGCTAGAATTGTAACTCCAAATGCTTTTATGCTTGCAGCAATATGTACATCCTGGACCTCCTACCCTGAGTTTGCTTACTGTATCTGTCTTCCTCAGCCACCATCCTCCGTTCCACACTGCAAGTCTATTGGTCATCAACGTCGTTTGGTTCCTACGTACTATCGTCATGTTATGTAACCAAGCAGAGCTGAGCTGAATTATTTTACTTGTATTACACATCTCCTACCACCCTGAGCTTGCTTACACATCTGTCTTGCCACCGACTGTCCTCCACCTTCCGACTCCTCTGACACTGCAAGTCTATTGGTCATCAACGTCGTTTGGTTCCTACGTACTATCGTCATGTTATGTAACCAAGCAGAGCTGAGCTGAATTATTTTACTTGTATTACACATCTCCTATATACCACCCTGAGCTTGCTTACACATCTGTCTTGCCACCGACTGTCCTCCACCTTCCGACTCCTCTGACACTGCAAGTCTATTGGTCATCAACGTCGTTTGGTTCCTACGTACTATCGTCATGTTATGTAACCAAGCAGAGCTGAGCTGAATTATTTTACTTGTATTACACATCTCCTATATACCACCCTGAGCTTGCTTACACATCTGTCTTGCCACCGACTGTCCTCCACCTTCCGACTCCTCTGACACTGCAAGTCTATTGGTCATCAACGTCGTTTGGTTCCTACGTACTATCGTCATGTTATGTAACCAAGCAGAGCTGAGCTGAATTATTTTACTTGTATTACACATCTCCTATATACCACCCTGAGCTTGCTTACACATCTGTCTTGCCACCGACTGTCCTCCACCTTCCGACTCCTCTGACACTGCAAGTCTATTGGTCATCAATATTATCGTCGTTTGCATGATTTAACCAAGTGCTGTATTATCTACTATATGCCTGTATGAAGAGTAGAATATACCATAGCATGTGAGTACTTTTTGTATAATTATAGCATAACCAAGTACTGTGTTATTATTATTATACTTGTATATACATGTGTAGAGTAGAGCATTATTTTGAATGTCACGCCATGAGAGCACAGTAATACTTTTTGTATAATTATGTTTTGCAGCAGAGCTGAATTTTACTTTACTTGTTGATATAATATTATAAAAGTTATTAGCATGGCTGAATTGGTTGTAAATATACATGTACGAAGGAGGATTAAAAGCGTAGACATTTACACCACGTGATTGTCAATGAATGTTTTACCAAAGTTGGCAGCTTCAGTTTTCTCCTAATATGGTAATTCCCGTCCAGCTGTTATATAACTAACGCCAATCACGGCACTGAAATCCCAGTTCACTCGTGAATCCAGGGAACTGGTTGAAATTCACACGCTGCTTCAGTCGACACCCACTTGTTTATTTATGTACATACATTCCATCCTTCCAACCAACGTACATTTGCACTGCTCACGGATGCTGCATAATGTAAAGACCGAGACACTATATACGCATGCGTACTCTATACATCCTATAAATAAAATTGTATATAAGTAGCACAGAGAGCCCACGTGGGGCCAGTCTAGCACTAGCCAAGTCTAATGGCAGCTGTATCCTATCTATTGAATGTGCTGAGACTCGTAAGAAAGAGAACAAGACCCTAGCTGGTAGAAGCCAGGGGCGACGCAAGCGCTACTGGCGAGGTACCGGGGGTTACACATGTGCCAGAAAAATAATAATTATTATAATTATGTGTAAAAGTATTAAATTATCGTAAAATGACAACAAAGAAAAGGTGATTGACTGCATAATAGCAGTTCTGCTTGTCTGATGACTGGAATCAAAACTGGCTGCACAGGTTTAGTAAAATCAATGAAATGTACTACAGAACTAAGACACAGAGACACACTATATACACACGCAGACACACACACATGTACACACAATGACGTCAATTTCCGCTACCACAGCATTGCTGCCGCGTCTGAACTCAGCGATGCGTAAAAATTAGGTAGACCGTCAGCCGGCATTAGATGGCCACTCCCATCAACCAATTCTTCCCCTCCCTCCTCCTCCTCCTCTTCCTCTCTCATCCCATTGTCCATGGCTTTGGTGTAGCTCTGTTGCAATGCATCACCCCCTCCGTAACTAGACAATATGCTGGGTGTGTAGTTACTCAGAGTGATGGTTGTGGTTTTGACGGAGGAGGACGACGATGTCTTGGGAGGGGTGTGGCCAGGCTGGGCGGAGTCTCGTGAGGGGGAATAGCGGTAATTGTCGGGGTCCGACTCGGGGGAACGGAGGGAGGGATGGAGACGCTGCGAGAGACCGTTCTGTTCGTCGGATCCGTCAGTGGCCTCTACTTGTTCCCTGGATTTCCAGAAGGAAAAGGAGAATCCCGTGGTGACCTCGTCATTCTGAGTGTCATCATAGTCGCCGTAGTCGTACTTGGGATAGTAGTGTTCGACTGTTAGATCAGCCTCACTGAATGCTACTCTTCGAAGAGGCTAAAGAAAGGCAGAAGAGGAAATGAGGTGGTCCTTATCACATAAGGAATGGTGATTTAGGTCGTCCTTATCACATACACATACATAAGGAATGGTGATTATAGGTCGTCCTTATCAATATTGCAGGTTCAGAGAGTTGGGTGTGCATGATTGTGTAATGTCGTAAATTAGCCATAAACAGATTGAGGTTCACATTACACAACTATCTATATCTACAACAACACTCCACGTGCCTTCACCTAAACCAATAAGGAAGTACAATGTTGTCCTGCCCCACTGTAGGAAACGGAAACCATGGGCCACGGGCGTGTGTAGTGGCATTAACTAACGCTCAAATCTGCACAATTTACCACGTTAGAGCAAGTCTGACTACGCGGAAACGAGGAAGAGAGAGACAGAGACAAGCTGTCGCTGTTTCCAGGACAGAGTCAGAGGCTTTGCCAAACTGTGGGCCGGCCTCAATGCAACTGGTCCAGCCTTTCATTGGATTAGCTCCCCCTCCAACCATGTTAGTGTGGAGACTATGGCGCCAGTATACAACGCTCCCCAGCCAGGCTCACAACACACGGGGCCTACTGTGTCAGTGGAGGATGGCATGAAACGTTTTTTTACACAGTGTGTACGAGCATGAGGAAAATATTTCCTTTTGGGAACTGAAGTTGGTATACAGTCTATTATACAATAAGTGGGTTAATTAAAGGGGCTTACTCTTTTCTTGTGTCGACCAGACATGACTAGAATGGAGGACGTCTTTCGAGCTCTCTGTGCCCCACCCTCTCCACTGGTAGATGTGGCAGAGGGGATGTCGGTAGTCGAAGAAGACGTAATCATCTGCGGAGGTCGTAAAAAACGACACCAGAACTCTCTCCTCCCTCTCCCTCTTCCTCCTCCTCCTCCTCGTCTGACGTGTTGTCTAGGTTTGTGATGCTATACTCTCCTTCTTCTTCATCGTCTTCGCCACTGCTGTCATCGCTGAGTGCATCGCCAGGCATGGTGTCTTCGCCTGGCGTCCAGGTGAAGGATTTTCTAGTAGTGTGTCCAGATGTTGAGACTGGGGGGACGCCGGCCGAGGAGGGAGGAGGGCGACTGGAGGTGGGGTGGTGAGGGAGTTGTGACGTAGATGAGGGAGAGGGGGAGCGTGACGTGATGGTGACTTTGGGGACGCTTGTGGAGGTGGGAGGAGGAGGTGGGGAGGGGGAGGATGGCTTGTTGAAGCGGCCGAGGAGTGACTTTATGTTTGTGTTTGTGTTGGTAGGCGGTTCCCTTTTCGGTTGCAGCTGCTTCTTTTCGTGGACACTCATCAAGTTCGTACCAGTTGGTCCACCTTCTGCCTTCCTCTGCATCATATGCTGTTTCCAGGGTGGAATACTTGCCGTCCGATCCTCAGACGGGACACCTCGCAAGTTCTGATGGACAGGCCCAGTACCCTGTTGATTGGTATTCGGGACAGGCCCGTTTGCCAACGGGACATCATCGACTGAAGTGGTGTGTCCCATGCGTTTCGCAATGTCGGCTCGTCTCCTCCGAATGAGAGCCTGTTTCCACATGGGGAGCTTGCGAAACTTTATCGTCTTCCTCAGACACGTTTGCCCACTCGGACACCTCCCTGTAGACGGGGGCGCGGTGGGTCACGCCTTCTTCCTGGATCACCTGACTCTGGTGTGGCGTCGGCTCCGACCTTCCTCCGCGATTGACGACCTCCGGTGCCGGCCTTTGCCGGGCCCGAGACGAACACCCTTGCTGCTTGAGCGACGACGATGACAACGGTTTCGGTTGTGGGTCGTTCTTTTTCCCTGCAGCTGTCGGAGCAACTGGTGCCATTCGCAACGGAACTGGCTTCGAGTCTTTCCTCTTTGGCTCGCTGCCGTCGGTGGGTGACTTCCTTCCTGACGAGGTTTCAGAGTCCCTACTACGTGTGGTTTCTGATCCGCTTCTCAGGGACTGGTTCCAATTGGTCCCTGCAGATTCAACGGGAGATGTTTTCCTTGCCAAGCCGAGCGGTTTCGGCTCTGATTTCTTGGGGTCTGTTCGTCTGGCTGCGGTCTTTCCAGCGGCTTTGTTACAAATTTTTCACTGGTGTTCTTCTTACTAGAGTCAGTGTGTTCCACTGGAGAGGGCCTTCTCTGTAGCTGAAGTGGGGCGGTGGGTTCTGGTGGTGCTGCGGCGACTCCATCCACTGGCGATGGTGTTAGTCTATTCATCGCCAGCCCCGAGGCTGGTTCAGAGTTTTCCCCAAAGACACCACCATCTTGAGGCGGGGATTCCTTCCTGGCCAGCGGTAGCGACTCACCAGGAGCAGAAGTCAATGAGGAAGAAGTATCTGTTTGAGATTTTCTGTTTGTCCTCTGGTGTGTGTCTTCTCTTTCTTCCTTCTCCGCTAAAGAGCCTTCTTCCCGGGCAGCATGCTCCT